GAACAGCATGTGACTGGCCCTTGGCTGCATGAATATGCATACATGTACTCACAGACACTGAATAAAAAACTCCCTCCAGTTGGCGAGACGGAGGTTGAAGACGTTGGGTCGCTTGCTGTAGTTGGACACCTTGCTGGAGAGGGAGTGGTGTATGCTGACGGCTTCCTTGGGCGTGTTGAAATGCATCTGGTGATGCATCTCCGACTGCGAAACGCGAGAACAAAACTCGGATGAAAATGCTCTCGTTGGATAATGGTGATTTTTTTTTCTTGGTGGATCCACTGAGAAATTCAACAGTCCACACCAGCCAGCACTGGGCAGACCCAAACAGGCCAGCTGAAGCTGGTCCTTCCAACAAGGTTGGGTACCTACTGTAACATTTGGACCCATTTGTTGAAGGGGTAAAAAGAGTTCCTTTAAGACAAATCCAAGAGACACCAGTCCCGTGGGGCCATCGCATTCTCTTTGGAAAAATCTGACACCTTACTGGTCGGAGAGGAGGGCAACATGCACGTACCACCTGCGTGCGAACAGGATGGCCCCGCAGTAACGGCAACTAATTTTCTTCACCAAATTTGCCTACACTGTTAGAGGTTACAGCCAACATCCTGGATGTCATTTATTGGCAAGTTTGATCAGCGACAATCTGTTAAACTACTGGTCAGTTTTGCCTGGCGCCCGGTATATATTTCACGCATAAGTTACCATTATAAATCAACCACTGGTTGACAATTTGTTGCCGATGGAACTTATCTCGTAATGCTTATTGTAACTCTTTATGTTGTTCTGGAATGTTTAAAAACACTTTGGAATAATGTGATTTTTTTTTAAAGAAAAGCTGGCTAGAGAAATAACAGGACACAGCATCATTTACATGTACAGTAAACTCTGGCTAAGTCGACACTCTCGGGACTTAAGAAATTATGACGGTTTACGCGAATGCCAACTTGTGCTGTAAGTCTTCATTTTGCTTACTTACACGTACACATGTATTGCCTATGTACATTATGATTTCTTGCACCAATTCAATGGCTTTGATCTACCCTGGTTTATTCTACCTCCATGGTCGATTCCAGCAAATTCTTTCTCGATTATTATCCTCACGGGCTGCAAATTCGATAATTGATCATGTGCCCCTTAGGATGCAGCAAGGACGGGAAGTCACTTGCATATCACATCACGAATCGACAGTGCAGTACATACATGTACATGATACAGTTACGGTAGAGAAAACATACACTCATCCACACACGCCCATTGGTTAAGTTCTGTCAATATAGTCTGAATACCAGAGTCGATGATTCTGACTATCCGCCGAATCATTATCAAGGGTCGTCAGGGAATCTTTCGGCAGGGAACCAGACTACGTTCAATAAGGCGACCCCCAAAATGGACAGAGCACATGCGTGTAGCACTAGAGAGGTTACTGGTATTGATGTACTCATGCTGGCTGCATGCACACCGGACTTGTCACTTCTTGGCAACCGCATTGAAGGAAACTGATACCGAAGCACGATTTCCTTTAATGCCGACTTACACAAAGGAATTTTTGTGGTTTTGTGGAAAAGGGACCGAGAAAAACATGCCGACTTATACGACATGACGACCTATAAATGCCAACTTAGAAATGAGATTTTCAATGGAAATGCATTACAGACGTATCGGGACCTTTGTCACAGGGCTGACTTGGACGATATGACGGGTTACTCAATGCCAACTTAGTCAGAGTTTACTGTACATCAGTTTTGGAAAAAAAATTCTTTTTATGGCACCCGTTTCTCCCTAGATAAATAGAGAACACAGCGTACCATTCCCAACTGGCAGAGAGTACCGAAGTGACTACGTCACGCGTACAACTGTGTGTGTAGAAGGCATTAGAGCGAGAATCAGCGCGAAAATCAACACACGCATGTGCTCTGTTCGTTTGCACGACACTTTCTGGTTCACAGAGTGATGTCCCACTTCGGTACTCTATATTGGAAACTGTCAGTGAAACACTGGTGATTAACATAATAATCCTTCTCACCTTGTGTAAATAGAGAATAAGCCCCTTCACTGTTGCATAAAACATCTTCCATGCTCGTTTGCCCTTGGGATCTGCAATGACATACACAAATACTTACCGTAACTAATAAATACATGTAAGTGCAATGAACCCTACAATGCAATCCCGCGATGCCCTAACACGTGTACATTTGCACGCGATGTCTTCTCTCCAACAGGCTGCTGTACTTTAATACATGACTTTAATATGGCATCGGTATGGGAAGACAAAACCAAAATTTCGAACAACCAAACAAAGAAAGCATCTTACTTTTCTTTCCCTCTGCATCTCTCGTCACTTTCCTCATGATGTAGCCCTTGATGTACACTGGAGCATTGGGGTCATTCTGGACCTTGGGAACAAACAAGGACAAGACAATCACATCAAATTACAGCGAAGATCTCTCCCACCTTGTGCCAGTGCCAGTGGACATGCCCTTCCCCACAAAATCCTGGTGCCCCTCCCCAGGTCCGCCCCCACTAAAAAAAAAAGGGATAAATGGATATTGAACAAGGCCAACAAATATTGCCCCACACCCCAAAAAAACCCACACCACTGAAAGCTGGTGCCCCCCATAAGATGCTGGTGCCCCCTTGTGCCCCCCTTCACCAGTAAAATCCTAGCTACGCCACTGCCTTGTGCTGTTTGGTTCTGTTATCTCACTACTGAGCTGAGCTGGTCTAAGGGTCATTTGACCCACTTGTTATAGTATACGGTACATGTACTTATCAACAGAGAAAAAAGTCATATGTGCAAAGAAGATACATGAATTAAAGTACTGTTTTTAAGGTGCATGAACATACACGTACACATGCACATGTATCACATAAAAATGTCATTTTTGAATTCTATGTATTTTTGCAGTTAAATGTAATCAACTACAAATGTCATACTTAAGTCAAAAATTCATGACAGGTGGTGTTCTAATGATGGATGGAGCGTTGTTCCAAACGTTGAGTCCGTTAGTTTCAGCGAACACTGCTCACAAACGATTTTCTATTACGTGCTCCTGCAAACCTTTGTTTCATTACTACTGTAGGTCCGCCATGCAAACCTTTGAATCATAAACGCCATATTTGCTCTGAACCGCTGGCAGCAGTTTGGACTTGACCATGCACACGCACAGTGAGACATTTCCGGGACAGTGCTCTACCAACAATGATGTCTCTGAGCCGAGAGGCCTTCATCACAGACACTCCAATGCTGCATGATATGGTCCAAAGTATACATTCGTGAGCACATGAATGACAAAGTCAGGCTCTCGAAGACTAACGAGGGAATCAAATCTGAGATCTTGAAAACAAAGTGCATCCCAGCACCCTACTAATTACGCAAACAGTAATTAAGTTTGACAAGGTCCCACTGCATGTATGCAACCGAAAAAAAAGGAAGCTCATGCACTTTCAAGTTACGTGACTTTTCCATGTTTCCATTTGAGCGTTCAAGCTTGCCAGTGTAGCCTCTCTTTCATCTTAGGGTAATTCCAGAAATTAGGAGGTTTTTTTCGTGTCCCTGTTACATCTGCCATTTTCTTTTGTAAGTTCAGAACACATTTTCTAATTTCCAAGAGTGATGAATTACATGTAATGCAAATTTCCTGCCAAACAAATAGTGACACTCGGTAGTTTGAAATCAATTCCGGTGATATTCCAAATAACAAAAGTCAGATGTAACAGGGACACAAAAATGTCACACTTTTGCACCCCTCATTTCTGAAAAGCACCCCTCATTTCTGGAATGACCCCTTAACTCTTGAGTGCCCTACAAATATGCGAATGCAGGATACCAAGCACATCACAGTTTTCTAACTAAACCCAAGGGCGGAGCCAGAACCAAATTTTGGGGGGCGGCACAATTTTTAGGGGAGGGTCGACAAAGTTTGGAACTTATTTACTTAAGCATTTATCGGCTACCTAAAGCCACGGAAGGGGATTTTCACCTGCTTTTAGAGCAGGAAATGACGTAATCCCAAAGAAATTGCCTTCCTCTATTGATACGTGTACTTCATAAAACAAAGTCTGCTCTTGGAAAGGGGGCCCCATACCCCCCATCTGCCAATGACTAAACCTGTACACACATCTGTTTCCCTATCCTACAACAGAAACCCTCCAAAAACCACATTGGCATTAGCCCAAATCAACAATTACCTCCACGAGGGTGGAGTGCCAGCGCACATTGCCAACCTTAAGCCCACACCTTACGGCTGTCCTATTTTTAGGCCAAACTGACGAGCACAGTTAACCAACCCTTTTGGTCTCACCCCACTGAAAGGAGATGATTCAATTACAGCTGCACGCAGGTAGAGGAGTAACCCTGGTGTGTTAAATCAGGTTTCATTGATACTGGGACACTGAAAGCAAGTTTATACCGACCGGAAGCATAACTTCAACAATGACTCATTTTAACAGCTCTGCCAGCTGATGACAGCCTCAAAATGTTCATAATGTACATGTATCACAACAAAATGAGAGTTGAGAGTTTTGTTAGAATAACGTACAGAGTTTCACTCAATCCTTTCAACAATGACCCCGTGTGGGCGAGCACTGAACAGTACAGTCATTTGCAAAAGTTTAGGACCTCCCATAGAAAATGCATTAACCTGAAGGAAAACCAAACTTAAACCAATCAATCATGGCAACTTATGTTTATTTTCAATGTGTAACCTTGGTACCTTGGTTGAACATTTTTGACTACATTTCCATGATTTGACATGTTAACAGTCTAATATTCAGTGTTCCTTCCTTCATTTCTGATTGCTTAGACTGACTTTTTTTACCCATGCTGCCTTGCAAACAAAATGTCATACAAGACCTGCCTTTGAAAAAATTTCATTCAAATGGTATATGGCAATACACTGATATTATGCACCACTGTAAAATCATGTCAAGTAATCAGTCAATGAGACAATGTAATGCAGGCCCAGTGACAGAAATACCAAAAAAATTCCAGGTGGTCTTAAACTTTTGCAAATGACTGTATAAGAAAATCCTTTCTGCAATAAATTTGGCAAACCAAAGATGGTATTTCACTGATCACAAAAGATACTTAATGTATAACAACTCCTTAAAGCACAGGTCCTATTCTTATAATGACCACACTGCTGGTAAACGTACCCGCAATGCTGAGTAAGAACTAAACCCGTAAATACATGTACATACAATGTGCATCACTTAGGATTTCTCCCCAACATACATGTATGTATCTAATGTCACCAGTATGAATCCGAAAGGGGAAATTAGCTAACATGGCATAACTTTCCAGATTTTATACCCACATGTACATGTACACATAAATGTAGATTGGAGATATTTTCTTTGTACATGTACAGTACTGTACACCCTACCGGTCAGTCCTGTCGTCTAATATCCCATATCACATCTCACACAAGTCGTGTACATGTACGGTACTGTACACCCTACCGGTCAGTGCTGCCGTCTAATATCCAATATCACATCTCACACAAGTCGTGTACATGCACATGTACCGTACTGTACACCCTACCGGTCAGTCCTGTCGTCTAATATCCCATATTACATCTCACACAAGTCATGTACATGTACGGTACTGTACACCCTACCAGTCAGTGCTGTCGTCTAATATCCCATATTACATCTCACACAAGTCATGTACATGTACGGTACTGTACACCCTACCGGTCAGTGCTGTCGTCTAATATCCCATATCACATCTCACACAAGTCATGTACATGTAATTTCCTAATTTTTGTTCAGAGTACGACACATGGCAGTTTCAAATCTATGCTTTATCGACAGATCTGAAGATATATCACATGATAGTGCATAATCCAGAGCTGAATCCCTTCATTTGGAAATATCACTTTCTTGACGATAGTTAGGTTAAGTAAAGGACTCATCACTTCTCATTGATTTACATACATGTGGCCAGTAACGAACTACATGTACATCCAAAAAAACCAGCTCACCAAAAAGTAAAATATTTAAACAAAGCCAAAAACAGTTCGTTTGGGTCCAGCAGACTCCAATCCAGAACAACACCTCGCTGGGAAAAATCAGAACCAAACTTTTCACCAGCGTCAAATGATCATAATGAGAATACTCATTTCTGTCGAGAAGACTGCACACAAAGATGGAGCAGGGAATAAGAATACACACGTGCAATATCCTGAAACGACCAACTGCTCTTTGGTTACAAGTCCATACAAATCTCCTGTTTCTATCAGCATTTTCAATTCTCCACGTGAGTAGTGAAATGTTTGTTGCATTCTAGTCCATCAAATAATCACAGGATCAGTGGGTGAAGTCATGAGTGTATCTATTACAGGAACGAACACTGAATTGGGAATTTCTGTCACAGTTTATATGAATGCTCAACTCGAGACTGGACAACTTGAGAAATGTCGTGACTTGCGGCGACTTCAGGAGAACTACATGTCAAGTGTAACACAAAGACACTAGATTAAGGCTTAAGACGCACAGTGGTATCGACAATTTAATGTGCTAAGGTGACATGCCTCACTGGGTTCAAAAGGCCTCCTCTTTTGTTTCCGTTTCAGGGATGGGATTCAGAATTGGGGCAAGAGACACCCATCCCTGACCCCATTCATGAGGATGTTGTTTCACGTTTCAAGATACCCGATCGCAGACATCAACAAAATGTCCGCAGGAACTCGAGTTTATACTTTCCCTGCATGTACAGTTGCAATGGTCCCCTAGCCTCTCGTACTGTAGCAGGTCATGATGTCAGGACGGGCTGATGGATGTGACATATGGACAGCGCACTACTTCACATTTTCTGGAGAGATGCTTCTTGTTATTACAAAAGCATGTGCAATACTCACGAGGGCTTCTTCAAACAAGATGGTTTACTATATTGACGAGTAGAGGTCTGAGTATGGTGGCTGATGGCCAATCGTATCACTCTAAGTTTTTTTTTTAACAGTAGGACCTGTTTGTTTTTTTACATGTGCTAAGTTATTGAAGAATAGGCTAATTATGGTCATTTTCCAATACTCAACTTCAGCTCCGTCTCAGGCTTCAACTGTTTTTTAATAGCTGACTTTAAAGCTGTAAGCTCAGTAATTAGTCTAATTGTGCCACAAAGCATGAAATAAGATGTAAGAGAGCCAAAAATTACAGTAATTCAATGTAATTTGAACGCTTCAGGCCCACAATCGGGGATTGGTTTTGGGAACAAAGCCTGAGACGAAGACGAGTACTGGAAAACGGCCTATGTCTTGGGGTGCAAAAGTTGGTTTTCTCAAACAGAATGCAATTTTATATACATAAATGTACTGGTACTGGTACTTTGGCCAAAAAAGAAAAAAAAGTTCCACTTCTTGTTTACTTAACTATCCCTTTTTGAGGGTGTGACCTTATATTTGGGGACAATTTGAGGAAAATGTGAAATTGGAAATGAAGAAATGTGTCTACTTCAGTTCCTATTTGGTGCAATACGGTTCGTTGGACTTATGCAACAACTAGTTCCTTTGAAGCATTGCTCATTTGAAAGAAATGCTACCCAACCCCTCTTGCTTTTGTTATCTCTTACCAGGTAACACTCATTGTACGATGTACATGTACATACATGTATCTGTTAACTGGGTCACTATTTTTAAAAAAGTGCCCCCAAATCGCTACCCACCAACCCTGGTTTCAGCTCTAGTGGGATGGGATGGAGTACTTTAACAGTACCAAATTCACAACATACATGTGACATGTTTGTTGAGAAGCGGAACTGATGTTGTGCTTCGGTGTATATAAATAACTGCATGGTACATGTGCAACACATGTAGGCACCGGTGAACATCAATCTGGGGAAATTGTGATGCACATGTACAATGACTAACCGAATGACTAACAAACCAATTACATGTATCCATCGCACCGTGCATATGACTTGAATCTATAGTGGAATTCGACCACCAGAATAAGAAGCCATTACTGCGGTGGCACGACGCTCGTGGACAGGTGGTACTCGCGCGTTACATGCCTCTTCCACCAACAGGGTGTCGTGATTTGCCAAACGCATGCAGGCGTCAAGCTGAAGAGTGTGCGTGTGAGTGCGGTGCCACCGCATGTTAGGACGTCTTATCGGATTAGTCTATACAAAAAGCTTTCTTTCCTACATGCATACCAATGTGGTTTTAAGCAAATCAAAATCAAAATGAAAAGTGTGAAGCATGACATTGTCCTAAAACCTCGGTCAGAAGCAGTGCCAATTTAGATACGAAAAATAAATATACATACATTGTACAGTAGGTACATGTACATTTACACTCTGTCAAAAGAACAGAGATTTTCAAAACAGTCAAACCTCGTTAACAAGAGCACTGCTTATACAAGATTCTGCTTATAACAAGAAAATCTTTAGGTCCCAATCCTTTGTTCGTCATTGTTTTCATTCCTTATAATACAAGGTTCCTCCATAACAAGGTAATTCTTTAAGTCTGAAGGACCTCTCCTTGAAGAGGATCGACCGCACATTTTGGATGTATCACACGTAACCCCATACACTTGCACAAGTGGAACAGCAAAGATTAAAAGAAATATCATTTGTCCGTTGGTAACAGTAAGTCAATGTTCACACACTAAATATGGGATCATGGGGGTTCTTTAAGATGGTGTGGCTAGACATCTCGTCACGCAGAGGAAATTTGTCTGGGAGAGACTTAAAAATAAAAGAGAGTCAGTGACCTCAACACGTACCAGCGTTCATTTATAAATATAGCTGCAATTGAAGTACATGGCGACGCATCAAGTGATGAGGTGCTTTTATTTTTAAACATTTACCTGAGGAAAACGGCTGTCAAATTTACTGGCCTCAAGTCACAGGTTGCTGTAATTTACTCGTGCATGGCACTATGTTCAGCTGATTAAAGCATTTAATAAATTACTGTATGAGAGAGGTGGGTATATCAGTTCCTTCCTGGATACATTACGATTGCTGGGTATCGAACAAAAGACTCAAATGTCAAGTATATTTGTCATTTATGCACTCTTACATTCACAAGGTACGAATTTCAAAATAAAAGTACAGTAGGACTAGAGACCGGAACAAAACGAAAGTTGGCCACCACATGTATATGTCGTCCTTTTCCATGTCAAAAGTTCTGGTCAAATACTAGGCATAAGTGATTAACCCTTTGATTTGAACTGTCAAATCCCTTCACAAAGTCCATCCATGTGTACAGAGAGCTAGAGACTGAGGATAAAGCAATCACAAGTTAGGCATCCTTTACAAAACTTACCAGCGGCGTACGATTCTCAACCAAGTACACCCTAACCAAGTCTGGCATAACTTGCGACTTTAAATCTGAGTCCATTTTACTGTGATCTTCTGTGCTGTGTGCCAAGTTCAAAAATACAAAGGCATTTACATGTACAACGACCCAGACAATTAAGCTGGGAGGACACAGTCATCAACAGGTGCCCAAGTTCAGAATCCTCCTTGGTAAAACAACTGACGGCCAGGCATAATCAAGATGTCTGTCCTTCAGGAAATGCTCAAAACAGGATGGTCCGTCCTTTACGAGAGGCAATTTGTTCAAGACACCCCTTGCTGTTCTACTCATGCAGAGGTACTGTCGAGCTCCTGCAAACATTTACAGAGCATGCATGCATGTGCTGTACACTTGTTGGCATCGCACCATTTGTGTTGTGACCTTCACAACACAAGTTCGAGATTACGAAGTTAGCATTCATGCCTGATGTGCAAAATTTCCCCCACGCATATCCCCACGCTGGTCTGGTCTCATTCCGGTTTACCATAGACACTGGCGATGACAAACCCTTCCCTCCAAGTCAGGCATAATCCTATACTTTTGGTTGTTCCGATCCTCGGAGCACTGTGAGGCGAATGCAAACTGACACACTGTCATTCAGGGGGAATCGCTCCCATGTTTGTTTTGTGCGAAGGGGGCAAAGTCGTACGACTGGAGGACAGGAAGGAAGAGTAAAGGGCAGTGGGGGCAGAGATTGTACGGTATGTGGGATTTGGGGCAAGTCGACCGAGGGACCCTCATGGAGAGAGGAGATTAAAGTGATCATAAGCACTTGTGAGGGGACGGCACTTCACTAGATGACACAACAATTGATACAAATAGTACAGATGAAACTTGAGGGCGACAAAAGTTTTAAGGTCAATTGATGAGTCACAATGTACATTACAAAGTATACTTATGGCCTCACGTAATACAAATTATTGTAGAGTTGATCGGTCTTAACTTTATCAAAACTGAAATCCTCTGGTGTAGCTGATCCAAACTGCTACTGCCAATTGTACACTCAATACCTTCTGAAAGGAAACAAGCAATTATGATACAGCTGAATGGAACTAGCAAGGTCAACTTTTGTCAATGAAAAGTACCGTACTACTGTAGCCATGAACAAGAAAATTAGTGTGAAATGGAACATTTTAATGGCAGCCTCACTGAAACCCCTGGAAAATAAACAATTCTATTTGCACGCAGTCACAAGTGAAACTTAAAAAAAAGAAGAAACCAAAAGTAACACCTAGAATATACACTACATTTTATTGTTTCTCAAGGTCAACGCATTCTGGGCTTCTAAAACATGTAGTGAAATGTTGAGACTCTTTCAGGATGGGAAGGCCTGATCTGTGAAGGATCATTTATGGTGGCTGAAAGCAATGACAACATTGGACACAACCGGCCAGTCACCGCGGCAACGCATCAACAACCCACAAGTATGACATCGGGATGAGGGTGGAACAGAAGCAGGTAGCCAAAAGTTGATATCAATCCGCCGCACTGCTCACACAGAGACCAATCAAACCAGATATCCAAGAGAAACTCCTGAGGACAGGATCACCTACATTGTACACTCTGGACTAGATTAAAACAAGGACTGGCGTGGTGTTCTTTCACTACACAAGGACTGTCTCTGTGACTCACTCGTCCATGACCAGCCCTTTTAGGGGTGAGGGCTCTTTGAAGCCAGCACATTAACTCTTACTTGATACCCTGTACCTCATCAGTGTATCTGAAGAATTAGCTGCGGCTTCCTTGAGCCTCTCTCAAACTTTAGTCTTTTAAGATACTTGCTTGTCATCGGAAAACAAGTACCATTAACCATCTCAGGAATAAAGACAATTGGGAATATTTGCGGCTTAAAACTGACCTTGGAATATGCACACAGCATCTGTACAAACATGCACGTTTTTAAGTCCTTAAAACCGATCCTTGGTCTGAAACATTTTTCTCCTCCCTGCTAAGTTCCACTTAGCCGATGTTGACTACTTAATGCGTTCAGTGTGCACACCTACCTCGAGGAACGGATTGCTGCCGACGGTCATGGTCCCGTTGCCCGTCCTACTCCCTCTCTTCAGAAGCTTCTCCTCCTCGTCGCACGCCCACTCCAGGGGCTTGGATTTGATGGACTGGTAGAACGTTTTGAGCATTTCTCGAGAGAAGTCTTCCCCCTCGTTCATCCTTTCTAGATTGGATATGAAGGCGCTCAGGGACATCTTCTTTGCAATGTTCTAAGTTTTGAAGAAGCAGAGGAGAGCACTCAACATTACTAAGGGCCAGTTAAACGCATGACCATGGACAATGTTCAAAAGACAAACTATCAACAGGAGTCAGAAAACATCCGTACTGATTGTCCAGTTGAATGCAGTACCAAATATACACGTACTATATGTACTGTACATGTACAATTGTACATGTACGAGTGCATACTTGAAATCTTTACACCGGTTTATGTACCCGGTGCAGTACATGTATATGTACATAGTATACAAATATACATGTACAGTCCTCTGTCTTGATCCAGGCCCTAATTAACTCTGATGGGGAGTCTTGTGGACTACAATAACATGTTTGTCCGTACACTATACTCAATGAAATGATTCAACTCCTCCTACTGCAGCTCCTCAAAAAACCCAAAACCCAAAATTAATCAAATTCTGAGCATACGCATGCATGACTTCAACTTATCAGCTTCTGGAAACGTTTCAGTTGCACAGTTGATGTGAAGCAAACAAATCACATTCCTCTTCCGAAACAATGTCATGCTGCCTCTGCTTGTCCATTACAACGAGGACTGCTAAAGAAATGATTCCAACCCCCCCTCCCAAACTCCCCTTGCAGCTCACACGCATGAAAGGCTCGTTTGATTCGTGGTACTGTTCGAGACACGAGTATCTGGGCATCTACCGCGTCGTGCACGCCACGCTATTGTCAGTTTATGATGCAGATCTGTCTTCAAACCGACTCAGAAATCTTCAATGACAGCTTGAATGGCAACCAATGAAAGCTTCCATCATGCACATGTGTCGCGCATGCTCCATCTTTGTTATAACCAGGTACAGTGTGTGTTTAGTATTTAGTGAAAGAGAATTTCCGACAACCAATTAAGGAATTTATGCTTGTCGTCTGGCTAAGCCAACTTTTTCATTCTACCGGTTTGTCCCACCAAGAAACATGAAATAAAACCAAAAAAATAAAGCCTTGGTTCAGTGTGTTGGGTTTCCATGGCAATAAAAGTGACCACAAAAGACACGTCATTTTATGAACATGAATGTGCGTGAATATGTATGGTGATCACATTTTCATCAAATTCCACTTGTCTCCCACCTGAGCAAGGCGAGTATAGTCGCACTACAAATGCACAACTACATGTAAAGCCCACGAGAATTGTTTACACTGAAAAGCAGGCTTTTCATTAAAAAAGAAATCCTCCACTTTTGAAATGTGATGCACCACACTGGATCTTCTGCCAGCCGGGAGATCACCCTTAGAGATAAAATGTCAGCCGCGTGGGCATGTACATGTAATCCTGGTGAAGCCGTGGCTTAATAGTAGGGTTACATGCAGAATGTGCAAAGGCAGATTCAAACCGACCTCCTGCGTCTTCCAAAATCCAATTTATTCTGCCAAAACTCCAGGGAGAGAAGGGGACTGAGAGGGCAGAAGGAATGGAGGCTAACCAGGAGTGACGGGCCAGTAATCGAGAGGCAGTTGGCTTTCATTCCGTTCAATCTTGAGGAATTAACGAATCAAATCTGCTTACTGAGCTCTGGGGAAGCCTTGGAACTACACACAAAAAGGAACGATCATCAAACTTGGCTTTTGAATAATACAATGCTTGCATTTGCATGTACATGTACATGTACAAACCAGGTGAAGTAAACTTAAGAAAATTATTCGTCTTTCTGAGTTTGAAAGGGTACATTCTAATCCCCCAAGTTGATTTTGATATTCAGTGTTTACCTTACAGCCTCTTGAAATATTCCTGAAGATTTTGACAAAGGATATGTTAAACGTTTGTTGAAAATAACAAAATGGCTGACACATTTTAAGATTCCATGGAACATAATCACGCTTGATCCCACATAAAGGTGTAGGATTCAGCTACCTACATGTACACGTACGTCTTACATGTACGACCCCCAACTACAATGGAACAGCGCTGTCCAAGCAAGCCATAGTGGAAGAAAAAGTTCAAGCACTGCAGATTATCTCTCGACCACATAATTTTACTACGCCACGTTTTAACGGAGGCTTCTATCCTGGCCAGATAAGGCACAGCAGCAAGGATCAAGCATTTCAAGACGGCCTCATGACTGCACATAGATGTGCGTACCGGTACATGTGGTTTTGCCTGCTGAAACTGCTCTTGATGAATTACTCCCCAGACAAGGAGCAACAAGGCAGTTCCACCACATCACTCTCAAACAAAATTACAGTTCAGAACGTGCACGTAGGTGCGCATAAATACTTCACTATACCCCATGGGCACGTATCTGCATAATACGCAAAACTGTCAAAGTTCCTGCAAGACAGCCCGACGCGACAAGGTGTCGGCTACCCAAGAGCGCCAAATGACACGTGCACCGTACCTGTCCATGGAGATCGGTGTTGAGAAGCATCAACGCGCAGGTCAGGGCATTCACGGCGTCCACTGATCGGAACTCTATCTCGTTGCACTGCTGGTACCGCGTGGAGAAGTGGAGCAGCACCCGTTCCCTCTCCTGCGTCTCGCCGGACACGGCGATCTTGGCCAGGAATTTGCGCAGCGCAATATCCAGGGGGAGGTTGGTGAAGTCAAAGTAGGTGACATATTCCTCGGCCACTAGCTTGCTAAAGTCATTCCTGAGAAATAAAGACCAGACGAGTGAAAACGCATTCTAATTTACAATGTACCGGTATAAGGCATGCTTTAAGTTCATCTCTTAACAACTTTTCCCTAACATGCAGCAGGTGTTACAAGAATTTGTATGCCAGACGAGAGCTAAGGCTGAGGTATGAAACACACACATGTGCACATGTACATGTTTCGTACATCCATTTACATACCATGTTCTTGTTTCTCTCTATATATTAAATATCCAGTGCCTCGCAAACTTCACCTGTCAACTTGGCAACACAACATAAAGGCCACCGTGGGTACCTTTCATTTTCAAAAGGAATTCCCCCCCTTCCCATTACATGTACATCACTTCCATTCATTCATCCATCCATATCTGGCTGTAGCAATGTTTATTCACTGGTCTACATGTACGGGTACCTGCATTGCCCTTTTGTCCTTCTTATAATACAAAACAACCCGGATATCCGCAGTCTGCCTCCTTGTTTGATGCACCCACTCTACCAGTATCTTCCCACCTGCTGCCTATTTGTCTATCTGCCTGTCCTGGCATCTACATGTGTACAACCCAATGTTTGTTTGTTTGTCGATCCATCTACCTGTACATCTGTGTATCTTCCCTGACAGAGGATTATAGGCCTTCCCATAGGCACATTAAACCATCTCAGGGTGACCAATCTGTCTCTGTATTGTGAGTGCCAATCCATATTATAGGTTTACAAGTGCATGTATCCAAATCATTTTTCATAACCGCAAGGTGAGGTCTGGAGTGAATGAGGTACGGCTCAGGAGCTAGACCAATCCATGCTGACCCCCTCTACTGCACTTAAGTTAAATCACAAAATTGACGAGTGAGTAAATCCGACGTGTCTCCCCTTCCCCCCCAACCAATTGAACAGATCGTGGTGGGTTGAGGCTGAGAATTGCAGCCTGAGAAAATAATTAACAAGTTGAAGCGCTTGGCCATTTGGGCCCTCTGCCCCCTGGATTGGAGGGAGGCCATCCCTCCCCCCCCCGTGACTGAGCACTTGAAACTTGAGGAGAGATGGATATCTCAGGAAGGGGAAGGTTGGGGAAAATAGACTGGTCCAAGGGCATGAGAAGGTAGAGAATGCAGGTAGGATGGAGAGAGAGAGAGTTGTAAGGACAAACTGCTTTCCTTTGGAAAGATTAAAGAATTGTCTCACAGTTAAAGTTTTAAAATTCCTTGTTGATTTCGATTTGAGCGTACAACTGTAGCTCTTCTGTGGTAGAGTGGAAGTCAATGAAAATGTTATTTTTATTCACAAGGACCGGTGCATGTGAATGTGTAAACAAGGGTTAGTACAGATGAAAGGAATCCACAGAAGTTCAATCAGACGTTTAAAAATCACACAAAGTCCATTCATGAGTTTTATACATATGAAGCATTCATTTTTAAACAGTAAGATTGCCAAAGATGTACCGTACTTAGAGTCTGGGAGGTATTCAATTTTAACTATGGGCTTTGCCCTTGCACTGACATACAAATGGTGAGATTTACGTGTACAATTCCTTTCAAAGCAACGCATGAGTGTCTGTTGGCAGAGAATCCACCCAAAAATTGTTGAAAGGAAAATGCGTGGGTATAACAAAGCTGTGAACCAAAGCCCCTTCTTTCATGGTCTGAAACTGGCGTTAAATTCACAAGTCCACGGTGATGGCTTTGACGTAATACAATGTACATGTACGAGCACATACATGTACATGTGTACCATACACCGGTACCGCTCTATCTTCCGGTACTTGGTTGATTGGCCTTCTTGCGGTCACACTTAGAGATGACTTGATTTGATTAGGTTAGATTGGGAGGGCTGCGTTTGAAGGTGACTCCTTATTCCTGATACCTTGTTATTTTGCGTCTGTAAACGGAGTCCTCGAGGAAAGAAATTGACGCAAGTTGTGAAAATCAATGCTGCTCAAGTCGTATGGTAAATGTACAGTATGCAGATGTGAGGTAAAAGTGGTCTGAAATGATCAGTCCCCACATTTTTAGGAACCACTCCTATATCCGTAACACGAGATTTTTCCAACCAGTTTGTCTGGTGGTTATGAGCCCACACATGCACGTGTGGGTATGTGTTTAACTGTAACATTCTTTGGCAACACAATGCAAACCCAGCAAATGATATTCACTTTGAAAAGATATATGTAATTTACCTGTACTAGGTCATGTATACATGAACTTGGTATATTTTTATTTGGGGGAATCGGCAAAACACTTTTTCAAACTTACAGTGTATGCATGTAAGTTTTCAAAATATACATGTACATGTACATGTAGGATGTTCATGTGGCTCGGTCTAAGAGTTTGACATTTTAAGCTCAATGCATAAAGAGAGCTTTCCTACATGCCTGGCAAGAAGAATTTTTCAAATCAGCAGTGCATTCCTGTGGGCATCAGCCACATGGTATCAATGATGTTTGTCGCTCACTCCTCTGTATTTTGCTGCTGCAAGGAAAGGGTTGCGTTTACAGAGAGGACAGATTCACACTCTCCAGCTTACCTTTTACTTAAATGTTTAGCTACATCCGATCTCTTGAATCCGTCCAACATGAATAATCGTTTGGCTAATCGTTGGGCCGATGGTACATCCAGATTCTTGCTACCAGCTTGAAGAGCGTTCCCTAGACTGTCCATGTCCAAACACTCTGACTCTTCGGAATTCACGCTGTGATCGCTGGACGTCCGAGAACCCATCCCGCCAGTCCACGGCTCCATGGCATCACTCCCGTGATGCACCAGGGTGGTTGCCTGACGCGGCTCAGTTGGCTGCTGCTCATCCGGGGGGTTCTCCATCGACTTACTCGCGTCGGCATCCAAGTTTGTCTGAGATGACTGGGAATGGGAGAAGTTGGAGCACTGTTTGGCGACAGACGACGTGCTTGCATATCCCGAGTCGTACGTTACACTGTCTGTTTCCTTCTCTCCCGCCAACGAAAGGTCAACCTGTGTAGCGCGCTCGGCTGCATCCTTACCAGTAGGGTGCTTTGAGGCTGCTGCAAGTCTGTGAGTTCTGAGGGGTGAGTCTGCGAGTGGTCCCTCTGAGGGACAAGAGCTAGCTTGGGAGGACAACTCACTTTGGGATGACTCGCTCTCAGCCAGTGACACCATGGGCATTTTACTAACATTCCTATTGATGTCGTTATGCCTCAAATCAGATTCCTGGTCTGCATGTTTGCAATTGGGACTGCTGTGAAGCTGCCCGTCCATCACATCAGTCATCTCCTGATCGGGCAAAGTCCGCGCAATCAGGGAAGAGTCCTCCCGGTGGATTTGCGCCACAGTCGTCATAACCTGCACAGATGGAATGTCTGAAACACTTGAATCCGAGCTGAATGAGTATGCATTAGCTGCGTACACCTGCCTTGCGCTTGGCATATCCCGATCGCGTAACTGATCCCTGCCAATCCCGTTGATGGGGGCACCACCGGTTAGCCTATGATCTGAAGGATGAATATTGTTTGTTTTCACAGGAGACGGCAGGTCACTGTCAGGAGTCTCAACAATTATCACGCCACCACTCTTGCATTGTTTCACGTCCACATCGCCCAATTCTCCTGAACTAGAATCCAGCTTCGTTGACTCCAGACTCACACTGCTCTGTCCATTTTCAGGCCTGCTGTCATCTGTTTGGCCATTGGGTGTCGCTGGTGGCGACGGCTGGGTCGAACCAGGTCTGACTGGTGAGGATTCCTTAATCTTCTGCTGCTTGTGTTTGGGGCTGGCGTGACCAATGGTCTTCACTCGGATCTTGGGGTTGGATCCGGGAGGATTTTCCAGTGGTTCCAAGAACTTTAGAACTCTCGATTTCGTCTCAGCATCTGTAGAAAAATCAGACAACTGTTACAGCTAACATCTTGGTAACAACTAAAAAGCCCCAAAATATACCAGTAAAACAAGGACTGCATAACAGTTTTTGTCTTTACTGAAATTCACATCTGTAAAATGTCAAAAAGTTAGGATTTTTAAAGAAAATGTGGCACACTGATGTATCCAGGGTTTCCTTACGGAAAAGTTATGCATTGTACATTGTCCCTTTACACACCTGTAGTGAATCTACCATACCTCACAGTCGCATCATCAGAGGCAATTTCTTTGAAGCCATTGAAATACTCCCCCCAGGCAAATTGATTGCTCTTTGCAAAGGAGGAATGGCCTTGCCGCTTCAGGAACAAAGTTCCCACCCTAGTGAAGTGTAATTCAGAGAATGCCTCTCTTGGCAAATTCGTCCCAGTAAGATCTGTACCAAAAGCAGGACAAGTATTTGGCATACTCTACGGTGTACACATGAACATACGGTCAAAGACTCGATCACAATATCATAAAATTGAAAGGGAAAGGCATCAATAAAAATGTAGGTTTCCTTTAAACACTCCGTAACAGTTTCAGAGTATGTTTTTGATTTAAAACATCCACGTACAAAGATAGCGTCTTTGTGTCTTAGTTTTCTCGCTCTACATACAAACAGGAACTGGAAGAGACATATATGAAAGTTTTTAAGATAGAGACATAGAGACCGTTCCGGTTTTTTTTTTCATTTTTGCAAGCACGGTACATTGTAGTTTTCATGAACTGAGAAAAGTACTGGGCAGTGAGAAGAAATGAAAAATGCAAAACTCACAAAAGAGCCAAAGATCTACGACAGACAAGAAATAGTATCAATCTGAATGACATGAGAACTGTCGCATGCTGTGTCTACAATAACACTGGTTCCTCTCAGTAGGACACTCAAGCGACCCCACTAATGAGGTGGGGGTCAAACTAATTTACCCATGACCTTTGGCTTCTCCGTTTGAAACTGACCAACAAACAGGGAGAAAAACTTCAAATACCTACTTGTACCGGTGGTACATTTCTTGCTTTTTGGTACAAATTCCCCACAGCTGGATCCACTTATCGGTAATTGTTTAATAATCCATGGTCAATGTGTAAGGAAATTTTGTCAGATTCGCACCTTTCTTTGGGACTTACAGAAAATAGATTAATAGAAATATACAGAAGTAAATGATACACAAGACACCAGGAAGTCTAGGGACATGAACAGTGCATGTACAGTACCATACTTGGACTCAGGCATGTACCGGTACATGTACATATACATATTCTAAAGGTTTATGTATTTCAGACAAAATGTGACTCGCCCTAAAAGAATCTTTGCTGATGGAAATCAATTTAAGAACCCTTCACACATTTCACTTAATATACAATGTCCATTTTCATCAGGCTGTCATCAACATGAGTGATACACATGTACAAACACAAAAGGCTTAACTTGCTATTTCTCATGCAAACTGAGTCAAATGACTGAAAAATGGCCCGAGGACCCATTTTCACAGAGCAAGTCACATACACGTAAATGCATGGTACACGTACATGCATGATGTGTAATATCTAATGGTAAGACAGCTTGAGTAAGATTGAGCCCTTCTGGCTGTGCCCTCGCAGACACTCGGGATATACACGTGCACTATACATGTGCCCGGTCCTAAATAAACAGCAGTGAGGAGATATTCTTATCCATTTACCTTGTATCCCGATGGTGCTCACCACTGCAGAAAATGCATTCCTCCATCAATCACAACCAAATCCACCTTGTTGAAACAACACACTCACCGGTACATTTTGTAGCACGCCATCAGGTAGAGTGACCAAACTCTATCAGTATGCACACACATTGCCCCTAGACAACTTTCAACCACAGAGACACCAAAGCTGGCAGACCGGAATGGTGCCCTGAAGTCAACTACCGGTACATACATGTACATGTACATTGTACATGTACTGTACGCTACAGTACACCAACAGAAATCTGCTAAATCTTGAACTTATCAAATCAAAGTTCACTGAACCTCTGTGAACACAATGATCGGTCACAAGTACCGAGCTTGTGCACTCTCATCACGGTGGGTGATGGTGTTTCATACCAGTAGGAAATTGATAAACAGGTAATCAATACATCAATAATCAAACACGCTGTTGGCAAACACTTCTTACCATCCATTTTCCAAATAAAACTGTTCTGGTACATGACTCAACCTATAAAGCACAAAGCCATCAACCCAAAACTGCTGATACAACATTTTCATCAACAGCTGTACATGTACCACACATGTACAATGTACATGTGATACCTTTACCTGCATCATGGTGAACACAACACTACATTGGAGTGTACATACAATATGGATGTTTTTCATAGACAGGAAACAATAGGTGGTGTCATTAGCTTTCGCTTCTTCTTTTGCTTTTGGAAAAAGGTACTTCTGCTGATGAGATAATAACGAGGTCATTAACAGCATGACCAATTGGCCCCCCATAAAGCAAACTGTAGCAAGGACTGAGAGGTCAGGTCACCTGCCAGGAAACAGTGCTTCTGAATGGTTTGTGAAGTCCCATGCGGCAGCGTAGTGATGATGAAATTCCAGATCTTTCTACAAACTACTGGTATATCTATAGATGCTTTGCTACCGCCTTATGTCAGGCAGAGATTCAGGCTTGCAGCAAGTCATTTTCAAAGGTTATGCTCCCGGCACCCAATCTCTATCATCATCATGGCCTTGGCAATATCTCGAATGTGTCCATTAATCAAGGGAGTCGCATGCCTACTCGGGAAAATGTCATCTGCAGACCAGCATCACAAAGCCCCGTCAAAAGGCTGCCACCGTGATGATTCCTGCATGGTTTGCAGTGGCAAACCACCCGTGCAATATGAAACGGTTGATAGACATGGCCACAAGCAGTTATCAAGGCTTGGTCCATGTGAAAGCTGCAAGTCATAATATCACGTACACATGTACATGAACATGTATGCCAACTACATGTACATCATGTATGCCAACTACATGTACATGTACATGTATGCCAACTACATGTACATGTATGCCAACTACATGTACATGTATGCCAACTACATGAACATGTATGCCAACTACATGTAAATGTATGCCAACTACATGTACATGTAAATGTATGCCAACTACATGTACATGTAAATGTATGCCAACTACATGTACATGTATGCCAACTACATGTACACGTATGCCAACTACATGTACACGTACGCCAACTACATGTACATGTACGCCAACTACATGTACATGTATGCCAACTACATGTACATGTACATGTATGCCAACTACCGGTACATGTACACAAACCTGTAACAAAACCTGCACGTATGTACATGTATATGTGCAAGCAAAGGTACATGTAGATAGGAGACTTTGTTCACTTCTGATGGATTACTAAACAAAAATACCTCTTTTAAGAGATGGCTGTCCCTTTGCACTTACATATTTTCACACTTTTTGAAGAATTATAACTATAAAGATGAACAAAGAATTTGACTGGAGCGGGATTTGAACCTGCGACGTCCGGGATACCGTAGCGGTGCTGTACCAACTGAGCTGTCCAGCCCTACATGTATGTTTAGAATTATTTGTAAGCACATCGTCAGTTCCCTACTAAATGTAGTACATGTACATGTAGGTATAGTTTGTTTCTTTTTAAAGAGTTGGGAATTCCTGGCATTATCTATCACTTTCGGCTGAATTATTGTAAATTTTGCGGATTACAAAATCACACAATGACATCATCCTAATTAATGTATGTACTTCAGATGTACATGTACCGGTATGTCATCTGATGAGAGACATATTTCACCGACCCATAAGCATTCATCAGCACCGCACGCACCCTTACATGTATACGTGTATGGTTTCCGAAATTCTCACTGGATGACATCATGACATGACAACATTTTCCAGATACTAATCAACTTAGGCACTCCACAATGGCTGGCTGCTAAGAGTTACAGAAATGCTGGTGAGCAGAGTTTCATGGAATTCATGTCGCACTGCTACATAATTCTATAAAAGTGTATTTCTACCAAAATAAATAAATTTTAAAAACTCCACAGGAATGAAAACATACATATGCATATTACAAGTTTTAAAAAAGTTTGATTACTAACAGTAATGTGGCTGGTTCTTGAGTTGTCACAAATGCAATGAACTGTGAACAAATGGATTATCATCATAAGTCTGAGTTCATAAATTTATGCCTGTAACAAAGTGCTTTCAACCTACCTTCTTTGACTTTCAGGATGAGATCGTCTGGGGAACGCATCAAACTGGTGACAACTGAAGCAAAGAGGAGACAGGAAACGAGAGTGAGATGTCTAGGGAGTTATAATACAGGTCTTATGCTGTACGCGTACATAAGGAAAGATCGTACGTACTGTACATGTTAAGCATGTACCGGTAGTGTACATGAAGAGATAAATGTACATGTACATGTATACATACTCTACATGTGGTTGATGATGTCTCAAAAGTGAAACCTCTGCAAGATTTTGTGTCCTATATCCAGACATCATAGAGAGGCACATGTGCCTCTATATTTCAGTTTTAAAGATTTTGTGTTTGAATTTTTATGGTACTTGTGCATGTACAATGTACATGTACACCGTGCATGCTCACATAATTTTTTAGAAAGGAGTTTGAAGCTAACCAACGCAGAGTTGCAGCAAAACATCTTAAGGAAAGTCGCAAAACTGTCAACTGCACAAAATACAGGTGATTCACGATACGTTGCCACCCAGGGGCCATTTCTCAAGTTTATGCTACAGAAAAGCATGGCCGACTCGCCGCAATATGCATTCGAGTGAATCTCAGGAGACAACTTGAGGAAATGTTTTTAATTGACCGGGGAATTCCTTGCCTCTCACAACCAATCCAACATATTAAGTAACACTGATACCGGAACTCGAACATCTCTAACCAAACACTGAGAACAAATTAGGTTCCCCACACACAGCACATACGGTACAGTGCATGGTCAACCGTTTCCCCACAATATACTTCAATACAAGCCTCTCCATGGCAGTCTCTGGCACATTGCATCGTGAATTGCCCGCATCAAGGGATACTCCCAAGTACATTAACATACAGATACCGGTGCGTACATGTACAACTGCAGCTCCAAGTTATCTGCAGGGTATTTATTGCCCACAAATTTACTTTAAATTTCGCTTATAGTATTCATGAAAGGTGAAGTTTCAAACAGAAAGAACCTGCACTAAAGCAATAGAAAAGGGTCAGACCGGGGAGGTGCATGGCCTGAAACTGGATACCACCACATGTTCACGTACGCTGTGCTTCTTCCTTTGGCCTTAAAGATCGGGGCACCGATGAGTTACTGGAAACGTGAGGAGGACAGATATGAAAATGCAGGATACAGGATGATGAAATGTGGGAACAAGAGCCAACAGGAGACTTCTCATGACAAAACAATATGCAAGTACTGTTTTTAAAGATGTGCCCTTCGGTACTTTTTAAAAAAAAATCCACAGATGTCTACACCTCAAAGTCTGTTACACAGTACATGTACACGTATAGTACCTGCGTCAAGTTTTATGTGAGAATCAGTACCAGAAAGTGTCTGCATTGTTTACGACACAATCTGACTTGTTTGTTATACTCATCAATAATGAGACACCTTCAGGTATGGTAAAACTGATATAAATTGACTGAAAACGATTTTTTTTACCTTAAAAAAAAATTTAACATTAGAATCAACGAATGGAAACAATTTGTGTCACTTTCGGTGGCCCAGCTGTGGAATCATCAGAAATAATGCACATCCCCAGACAAAACAAAAGCGGGAGCATTGCTTAACCCCTTCGCGCCGGGAGACGGTAAGAGCCACCGTAAAAATTGAGATTCTCAGCCCGCTTTTCAGCTATTATTCTCCGCCCACGCTCGAGCGAACACGATGAAAGAAGGCAGA